CCGTGCCTGTTCAAGAAGACGAACTCGTTTGAAAAGGACGAAGTTCGAGTGAAAGAACTGAAAGCGATCTAATCAACTTTCGGTGCTCAACTTAGCAAGAGAAACGAATGCAGCCGAACCTAGCATCAAGTTAGTTTGGTTGTTTTACATGCAAAAGATTTTGTTGCCCACTAGCAATCCAGTGCAAGGCAATCATGCATCATGTGAAAAGGAGGCTACACAAACATCAAGTTTATATACTCAAGGGAAATGAGCATTTGCTAGAGGTGCATCAGTCTTTCGGTAGTAGGAGATTTTTTAAACAAAAGGTCTTTTAGGAATTTTTTGGGAAGTTTCTCGAAAAAAGGATATTTGCCAAAAGCGTAGGAGATTTCTGAGGAGTGATATGCCCTCGAGCAATTACCACATGGCATTGTTAAAGGAAGAATGTAAATCATACCTTAGGGGCACCAAAAGGCAAGCCCCGACACAAAGACCCGCCTAGAGGGGGCAGGGAGATAGATTGTCCTCAAAAAGTCATAGCAAAGCTCCTAGCAATAACAAAAACGCATATGCGTTTCTTGAATTAAAGCGCGCAGAAAAGCATGCCAATAAAGAACGACATAGTACACCGTTAATACATTTAATCTTTTATCATTTCAATAAATTGTTGTGGTGCTTTCGGCTTTTAATTGTTTTATCTTGCTCTTCACCGATTTGCATCATTTTTATTAACCTTGCCGACAAAATATGCAACACACTTATAAGTCAATAGTATTTTATCTTGATGATATGATATTTGCTGTCAGGGGCGTCGCAAAAGGGAGGGCACGAGGGGGCACTGAATCCCTGAAACTTTGTCTGTCGCCCCATAAAAGATTCCTGGCGAGCAAGGAAGGCAATTTTCTCACCCTGTAACCTTTTTGCAACATTGGTAACGTGTTCACATTTTTGTAGTAGTTGAACATTCAAAGTATAGCACTAAAGTTTGAATTTTGAACTAGAAACGCATTAAGTCAGCATGCAAGATTATTTATCTTATGACACCACCCTAAAAGAGTGAGACACGTGTTTTGGCTTCATCCTTGTTTGTTGCATTGTAATACCACAAGGGCAATCAAGCCCATATTCTTATAGGGCTCTATTCTATACCGGGTAGCTTTATGCCAAATATGTTGACAAACCTCTGATTTAGCAGCACTCTCAGGACAAACAAGCCTGAAGAGAACCTGTTGTCTAGTTTTTTTAAAATGTTTGGGAACAACATGCATATCAAAATTTACATAAATAGTTTCTGAGTTTCTTTTATTTCATTTATAGCATGTTTTCTTATTGTAACACATGGAGATCGATTTTAGATGTCTAGATTATCTATCTTTGACAAATCAATGCCTTTGATTTTTTGACATAAA